AAGCCCACCCAAGGTCGCGTGTCCAGGTGAGGTGGCTTTAGAATTAGAACACCCAGTGCATGAATTTCAGACCCTGGGTCCAAACTGCCTACTGCTCTGCATCAGCAGAGGGGAAGTCTGCCAATGGCAGAGGAAAGCGGCCAGGGCATCAGGCATTCATTCATATGTTTGCATATACTGGATGGATCCCCTATTGTGTTCCAGGTGATGTTCCAGGCCCTGGAAACAGGGGTAAAGAGGGCGATAAAGCCCTTGCTCTCCTAGAGCTTATAGGTCAGCGTGAGAGACAGACAAGGAGCAAATGAACCAGCAGAACAAATGTCACAGGAAGAGTACGCAGGCTCAGTTGGAGGGAAAATGCATTCCATATATTGATCATAACATATTTCAGAGAGAGAGAGTAGCTTTTGGGTGTGAGCTCTTGGCTTCCTGCCCCGACGCCCCAGGCTGCTTCCACTGAACAGCACATCCTCTCTCCCTCCTTATTCTCTTGTAAAATCTCCTTCTTGTCTCTGGGCCCGTGAAGGCGAAGGTAGCTCCTGCTCTCTCTTCTATCCCAGTGCTTCATTCTGGTCCTCTTTCCTGGCTCCGTCACAGTTGATAAACACACTGAAATCTCTGATACTGTATTTTAAACAATATTTTCTCAACCTCATTTTCCTCCCTTCTTGAAATTCATGCTTCCCTTGCCTTCTGGACTTTCGTCAAGCTAACCAGAGCTCCTTTGAAGCTGTGATGGAGGACAGGGTGAGATACAGAGTCCGTCCTAAGGGCAGGATGATTGAGGAGAAAAAGGGAGAGAACGTATAGGACGGTGAGCTCCTGAGCAGGGAGCATCCGTGAGGCCAGGAGGAGACAACAAGCAGGGGGAGCATGATGCCTAGATTACAGGGTCTTCCTGGTCCTGCAGGAGCTTCATTCCTACCTTGTATGTAGCTATGACTATCCTCTAAGGAATCTGGAAGATTCTAGCATGCCCCTGCTCCTGTTAATGTCCTAAGGAAGAAATCCTGAAGCTCCAACAAAGTCATTCACACCCAGTTTCTCTTCCTCAGTGTCCAGCACACCAGGCAATGAGATTAAATGGAGGGGAAGTGGGGAGAGGAGGGAGCGTGGGACTTTGTTCTGAAGATAAGTGATTTGATGGTGAAATTCCAGGCAGTGTGTGACAAGCAAACAGGAGAGGCATCTGGGTTCAAAGAGTCATTTTTAGCACCTTCACTCTACCTGCTGCTGCTGCTCCTGCCTAGGACTGTTGTGGGGCACAAGCCGCCAGCTTCCTCAGCTGCCGCAGCGGTGGATCTGCAGGCTGGCCAGAGGCGGTGTTCCTCCCCGAGGCCTAGGGATCATCCAGAGTGCTTGTTAGCCATGCTGATTCCTGAGGCCCACATCAGTCGTACAAATCAGGATTAGGAGTGGAGTAGGGACCTAGGACCCTGGTATCTGCATTTTGATACATTTCCCAAAACCCTAGCCTGGTGGTCACAGTTTAGGGCCTTAGAGTTAGAGAGACCTGTGTTTGGCTTCTGATTTTCCCACTTCCTCGCCCTGCAAACTTGGGCAAGTTGATTGAGCTCTTCTAGGCCTCTATTTTCTTATCTATAAAATGGGATTATAATTATGACCTGCCTCACAGAGCGGCTGTGAGGACTGAATGAGATGGGGCCTGTGACTCGTGGTAAAGCAGCACAGGATGTGTGTTGCTTTTCTAAGGTGCGTTTTCTTACTGAGGTTCTTGTTATTTTGGAACAAGTCACAGCTAAAGGCTGAGGTCTTGCCAGTATTGGAAGATCTTGACCAAGGGTTCTGCTTTCAGTTCTGTTATGAAAAGAAACATCTACCAGCTTGGTTTCAGCCTGGCAGAATAAAAAGACCACAAACTTTGGTGTCAGACTGGGCTCCCCTGCAATCTTAGAGTAGTCGATTGCTCGCTGTGCTGCCCTTAGCAAATTGCTTAATCTCTCTGGGTCCTACCTCTTTGTTGGTGCAGTGCGGGTGCTAATAACATCCCCAACACCAGCTTATAATAAGGATTAAGTGATTACATGTATATCACTCTTTCTCAGCATTGGCCCATTGAAATCACTTGGTGCAATTTATTAAAACAAACAAACGAACCGCAATGGCCAGGACCCAGGCAGGGTAGGGAACTTGCAATATTCCTCAAGCTCTTGCCCCAGGGCCTGACACATCCCAGGTACTTGATAACTAATAACAAAAGGCTTCTCCCATGGTTCTCTTACTCTTCCTCCTTCCATTCATGGTGTCCACCCAATGCTCTCCCAGTTGACATCAAACTGGGGTCAGGCCCTGCAGCTCCCTGACCTCCTCCTGGCAGCCAGGACCCCTCACCTGTATCTGCGGACTCAGCCCCACACCCTCCCATGCCCTGGGACCTGCTGACCTACAGTTCAGAGCTGGACCAGCTCTGGGCCCACACTGGATCCTACCCTATTCTGGTCTATACTGGACCGTGGGCTGGTCTGCTCTGGCTCATGGGGCCTTATCTCTGAGTCCAAGTCCTGCCTTGAGACCTTCCTGTATCCTCAGACTTGTGAAAAACAACGATTTCCCCTCCCGTGTGGCAGTCACCTCCCAGAAATAGAGACCTGTGTCTGTCCCCAGCCTTGTGGCAGGTCCCCGCTGCTGCTTCACCAGGTGGACAGCATTGGTCAAGACAGTGGAATCATCACTGACTTTTTCCCCCATTCCTTCCTGAGACATCAATAGAAGGCAAACAAATGAAAATTTTAAAATGTATAAACCCATGGAACCACTCTAACTAGCGCCTCATCTTCCGGAGGTATGAGCATGTGGCAAATTGTGTGGTGGCCCCACTCCCCCCACAAGATGTCCACATCCTAACCTCTGGAACCCGTGAATATGTCACATTACATGGGAACTAAGGTCGCAGGTGGAACTGAGATTGGGAATCAGCTGCCCTGGAGACGGGGAGCTGACCCTGGATTATCCAGGTAGGCCAGATGTCAGCACCAGGGTCCTTGTAAGTGGGAGAGGAGGTTGGACGTGACTAGGGAAGAGTGGTCAGAGACACGCAGCACTGCTGGCCTTGAAGGTGGAGGAAGGGGCCACGAGCCACGGAACATGAGTGACCTCCAGAAACTGAGGAGTCAGGAGACGGCTTCTCCAGAGGAGCCTCCAGAAGGGACCCAGCCCTGCCCACACTTCGATTTTAGCCTGCTGGCATCATATTGGCCCTCTGACCTCCAGAACTGTGAGATAACACTTCTGTGTGTTTTTAAGCCACTGCCTCTTTGGGAATTTGTGATTTTGTGAGAGCGGCTGCTGCAGACAAATACAGTTTGTTTCTAAGAAATGCTGCTGCCTGGCCTCCCCCAATGACATTTCAGTCCAATTCTCAAATTTTAAGTTACTTTTGATTACTAAGCAGACTCATTTCAGTTGTAAAAATTTTGTCATGCTTATTTTAACACTGCTGTCTTTGATTCAAAGCTCCCCGCTTTGCCCAGGGGAGGGAGTAGAGAGAGGGGTGAGGGCAGCCTCAGCTCCCTCCACACCCCTTCCCTGCACTGACTTCCCTGATGTGGGATTGAGGAGGAAAGACAGGGAGACAGTTTCCCACAGGAGGTCTCCCATCAGTGGGCCATTCCTGCCCATCAAGCTTGTGGTATTGGGTAGAGATTCAACCCCTGGCCTTTGAGAGGTCCCTCATGGTCCCTGGAGAGGATCAGCTGCATCTTTAGGCTGCCTGCAGCATCCTGTCACGCAAGCACCTCTTTGCCCCATGCTTCAGTAGCTCTTGGGAGGCCTGCACCCCACAATCTTGTCTACTGCAGGCCTGCTAACAGGTGGGGCTCGGCTTCCTACCTTTCCAGGGCCTGAACCTGATCATGCAGCCGTGACATGCTCCCCACTGGCTGTACTCCCAGCCACCTCTCCCCAGGGTGCCTCTCCCCTCTTTGGGGGCACCCTGGCCATTAAACTAGCCTGGTAGACCAGAGAACATCCAACTGGGAATGGAATATGGGTCCTGGTCCTACCCTCTTCAGCTGCATTCTCTCCAAAAGACAAGCTCTTCTTTGTTCTGTTGAAAATGCAGCACTCAGCAGTCCATGGGGAAGAGTGCTATTTCTCTGGTCTAAGAATGTGGGGAACTTGGTACCTGCATTCCTGACAGTGGGCCCTGATCATTCATTCTGGGGAATCCCTGGACCCCTCATACAACCATGTCAACACCACAGCAACACTCCTTTTAAAGTAAGATATCCTGAACCCTGTTTGGTCTTTCCTTGATGACTTGGGGGCATCACAACTAACATCCACAGAGGAAGGCCATGTGACACAGAAAGCATTCTGCCCTCCCTCCTACCCGGGTGACCTGGGGTGGGTCATTTGACCTCAGAATCAGCCCCCTGTCTGAAGGAGGGTGTGGTGGTGAGGATGAAATGAGGTGAGTGGTGAGAAAGCACTTGCAGAGACTGCTCGGCACACTGAACACACGCAAAACATCTGATGGCAAATCAAAGCATCTGATGTGTGAGAACAAAACTGCAAAATACTTACCACCTTACTGAGTTCTGAAAAGTGACCCAGAGTTTCGTTTTCTGACATCATCCTACTTCCCCTTTCTCCCTGAGAATTTGATGAGAATAACATGTCTTTGAACTTGAAATCTGGACAATGGGAAATCTACACTATATGGTTGGTTGGCTCTTCTTCAATTTTATCAAAGTAAATGCAAAAGAAAAAATCAAGTAGTTCACAGGGTTTGTGGTGGAAAGTTATAGCTGCCTGTCTTCCCACTTCTGTCCTTCCACCCTGTCACACTCTTCAAATGCAACAGCTTTTAATTTTGTGTCCTGTTATTTATTTTTATAGCTCTAAAGAGTATGTTTATGTTTCTTTTTGGAGAAATTCTTCAAAAATAAAAGAAAAAGACAAAGAGATTTAAAAAAATAGGGGGGTGGGAAATTAGACTAAGAACCAGAAGACATTTAAATAAGAGAAAAGAAAAACAAAGTGTATATAAGAGAAAAGAGAATGAGAAAATGACGGGGAGAAAACTCTATCTCTCTATCCATCCATCCTTCCATCATTCCATGTATCTATGCATCTATATTTGTATGTATCCAGCCAGCCAGCCAGCCATTTACCTATCTATGCATCCAACTATCTGGTTCACCAGAGATAAATAAGGTGAAATTCCGATTTAGTTTGTTGAACAAAGAGGCTGCCCTTATATAAGTGGCATCGTCTTAAGTCCAGTGCCCTGTGACCTCATGGGGCCCTGCAAAACCAGATTTCACAGGCCTCGACTGAGAGCCAAGTTTCCATTCTCCATGGTTACCCTTTTTCTATTTGTTCTTCTGCCTCTCTTGCTTTCTTTTGTGCACCCTGAAAATGTGATCTACAACAAAACTTCTGCCAAATGCATGCCTTGGGGGTGAGACACCCCCAGTAGCTGACACTTCACTCTCTCAAGAGTAAATCCTCAGACAACTACCAACATCAATAAATGACAAAAACAGAGCATTAAGCAAAAAAGTAAGCAGCAGGGTTACGTGCATGGAAGAATACTAGTGACATATGATTGGTTTTGCCACATCTAACTTTACGAATATCCAAAGAACATTCTACTGAACAAGCCAAACCTTCACAGAAGAAATGAAGCTTGGAACTGAAACTCCAAATCATAATATAACAGCTTAATAAATGAAGACACTATGCCAGTAATACAAACACATGTTTAAGTCATAAGCCAAGTCAGAAGGTCTTTGTAGTAATAATGGCTTCAGCAGCATCCTTCGTTGGCCCCTGTATCTCAGCCTCCTGCCTCGGTCCCTGCTGATGTCGTTAATATTGATAGAAGCATGAATCAGAAATGGTATCCTATGATCACGAGTGAGTGAGTTTCCACGGGCTAAGTGGTGAAACTCATATAATTCTCATATAACCAGGATATGTCAAGTTATCTCCCAGACTTCAAGGATCATTTTTACTTTAATATCCAAGTGAACTAGCAAAGTGCCCATTCCACAGATAAGGGGAGCCCAGCCGCCGCGCCCCCCACCCCCCGCCAAGATCTCCCTGAATATTTCTCTGGGGGCTCCTCCTCTGTTCATACAAGCTTTGGTCGTGCAATTTTAGTGGAATTTGATGGGAACAGATTAGAACACAGCATTACACAGGCAACAGTTGAAGACTGAATATTAGACATAATTTTCCCACAAATGCATTGGTCATTTTCCACTACGGGGACTATCTAATGATGCTCCAACTTTATGTGCTCTCTTTTTTTTTTCCCTCTCTCTTTCTTCCCTCAGCTTTATTGAGATACAATTGACATTACTGAGATACATTGTGTAAGTTAAAGGTGTACTATGTGTTGATTTGATACACTTGCATGTTGTAGAATGATTACCCCCAAAGTGGTACCTAACATCTCCATCACAAAACTACCACTTCTTTCTTATGGGGAGAACATTTAAGATCTACCCTCTTCTTGACCTCTCCCTCTGCTGTTACCCTCTCCCCAGACTCTCCTCCTCTCTGGTCAGCCAGCCTTCTACACCCAAATTCCTGTCCCTTCTCTTGTGCAGACTAGCTCAGTTTACTTTTGCATCTTCACCTTCTCCCCTCTGACCACACCTCACTCAAAGAGATCCATCAAGGTATTTTCCTAACCCCTACCTACAAAAAAAAAAAGAGAACCTCTCAAAATTCTATCTCCCCTGTTATGAATTCAGTCTATGTTGCCCCTTTGATATAAAAACAACTGCAATCAGTTATTGCTTTAAATGGCACTTCCTCCTCCTGTTGCATGTTTGACAGTATAAGAAAGAGGCGTGATTATGTCTACTGGGTCTAGAGGAACTAATAAGTACGTCTTACCTCTAATCTTTGTAAATCCCCTGTGAAGTATAGACATTATCATGCCCATGTTGCAGATGAGAACACTGAGGCTTACAGAAGGTTAAGTCACTTTCCTGAGGTCTCCCAGCTGCTAATCAGCAGAGTTTGACTGTGAACCAGTGCCTGTCTGATCCCTAAGCCAATGTAGCCGCACATCATGGTAGATACGGCCCCCACCGCCCCAGCAAGCCTTTCACTCATACGCCTTCCTCTCTCCCCATTCTTTTCAGGATCCCATGGAGATGGATTGGTGGAGGAACAATTTCTGGATCATCCTGGCTGTGGCCATTGTCGTTGTCTCCATGGGCCTGGGCATCATCATGTTCTGTGTCTGTAGGAGTCTGTTTAGAAAAGGTAATTACCACCTTGCCAGGGCAGGTGGAGGGAAGGGAGGGGCAGGGTGGTTATCAGTGTATTAGGGCTCCTTTAGGGCAAAGAGATTAGTTCTGGGCCTGTCCAGGTTGGACTCTGGATTTAACATCATGCATTTTGGGTTTGAGTCCTAGCCCTGCCACTAATTTGTGCATTTGGGCCTCAATCTTCCCCTCTGCATAGCGAAGGGAGGGAGGTTACCTAACCTCCAGGAACTCTCCAGCCCCAAGAGTCTGGGGGGAAGCAGCTTGTGTTTCAGGGTGCACTGTGCTGTAGTGCTGCCGGTCACAGCACCTCACCTCCGGGACAGGAGTCCACAGAATGTCAAAAACTGTCTTCACACCAAATGTGTAAAGTTGTATACATGTTGCACATATGAAATATGTACAGCTTCTTTTACATCAATCATTCTCCAACAAAGTTATTTTTTTTAATGTCTTGAGGCATGAAAAACGGACTCCTTCTATGATCACCACGTTTGACCACCCCGATTGCCTGCTCTAAGATCATACTCTGAATTTTCTGGTATATCTGTCTTGGCCAGACAGTCTTAGCATCCTCAGACATAAATAAGCATAAATTTCTGTAGGATTAACATAATTTTAGATTATCTACTAGTGGGTTTCAAATTTACTACTAATTTCCAAAAACATGAAATCCTCAACTCAACGGTGTATTTTCTTGAGATCCTATCCCTTTACATAATGACCAGAACCTGGAGCACACCTGGAGAGGGTGAATACACTGAGAGGTACAGCCACCTTCCCCTGGGGCAACCTGGGCAGGCATCTCTCCAAGATCAAGGCATTGTCCTCTCGTTGCATCTGGACACAGCTTCAGAATTCTACTGAACCAGTGCTGAAAGGTCAGGGCTGCTCAAGAAGTGAAAACTTTTTGTCATTCTTCTCAAACCCTTTTCAGAAATAAGAAAATTGAGGTTCAGGCAAATCCTTGGTTGAGGTCTTATTGGAATTGGTGGTGGCAGAGTTGGAACCAGAACTTGGGTCTTCTAGGCTCCCCGTTCAATGTTCTTTCCCCTCCATGCTTTGACAGCAATTGGTTTTTGGTTTTTGGTTTGTTTTTTTTAATACAGAAAGTGAGTTCTGGCCCTTAGAGTCCTCTAACCATTTGCCATTTTAAAATATTTCATTTCTAGATATGGACAGAAGTACGAGCCTGAACAAAAACTTTACCTGTTCTCTTCTATCTTGACCCACTTCTATTAACAAGCAGGTTATAATGAGTAATAACTTACACATCCAGCACATCGCAGTTTACAAACTGCTTTTCCCAGCCTGTATCTCATTTCCTCCCAACCACACTTTTGGCTAGTCATTCGACCAATATTTCTGAGTGCCAACTACATGCTAGGCAGGCTGAGTACCAGGCAATGAGGAAACACTCACAGCCAGCCCTGGATTAGCGTCCAGGCTCTGCGGTCAGACTGCCTGGGGGAAGTTCCGCCTCTCCCACTCAACAGTTCTGTGTCCCTGAGTCTGCTTCCTCTGAACAGCTCTTCCCAAAGTCCCGAACTCGCCGGTTCTCTCATCTCTTCTAAACTCTCAAATCAAAACTTTTGCTAATTCTTCCTAAACGAATACGCTTATTTGCTTCCCTAGGCAAGAAATGGGAAATTGTCAAGCCCTTGAAACAGAAGCAGAGAGATGAAGAGATGTATGAGTAAGTCGGGGGAGGGGGAGGGAATCCTTCCGCTTATTAACTCTGAGAACCAACTGCTCACTTCCATTCTTGCACCTACGCTACTGTTGCTAGTATGACCTAAACTCCAGTGCGATGTCATCTCTGCCAACTCTTCCCACTCTAAAGGGAAAGGCTGTAGGGCTTTGGGGACATAGGGCACCATATGGCTCTCTCTGCTCTCCAAGTCCTCCCTCGTCTCATCTAGTTGGACAGAGGTCACAGGTCCGGCCCTAGGTTCTGGGCCCACCACTCAGGGTTAGATTTACCCTTCTTTTCTTTAGATGGGTTGCAAGTATAGCCCTCTAAAAGGTACTGTGCAGAACAAAAATATGACAAACTCTTTGCTTTTGTATTTTGTGATATCTCGAGGTTTTATGATTGTTATCTGTCTCAGGAATCCCCAAGACCACATTCAGACTTGATTATTTGCTAGGAGGATTCACAGGACCCAGAAAAGGTTATAGGTTATTTCAGCAAAAGGATACCCATTAAACTCAGCAAAGGGGAAAGACGCATGTGGCGGAGTCCAGGAGAGAGCAGGTGCAAGCTTCCAGCTGTCCTCTCCCAAGGGAATCACACGAACAGCACCTACTTCTCCCAACACTGATGTGTGACAGCACATGAGAAGCATTGCCAACCAGAGAAGTTCACTCAAGCCTTGGTTTCCAGGGTTTTACTGGGCGGGGGAGTCACATAGACCAGAGCGCCTACGTGACCTACTTTAACCTACATGGTGACCTACATGGAGAGCGCTGGGGGTGTAGGTAAGGAGTTTTGCTGGGAGTCTATCTGTTTGTTAAAACTTCTTACTGAACTATAATACGAATACAGAAAAATGCACATGGTAAGAGGACAACTCAGTGAACTTCCACAAACTGAACAGACCCGGTGGCTGGCACCCAGATCAAGAAACAAAATCACCAGCACCTCAACCCCAGACATGCCCTTTCAGCCATTACACCCCAAGGATAACCACTATCTGAAATAGAACAGACTAGTTTTCCCTTGATTTTATGCTTTATATACCTGGAATTATACAGTATGTACCATCTGGTGTTTAGCTTCTTCTGTTCAGTGTGTTTTGTGAGATTCATCATGTGTAGTTGTAGATTGTTCATTCTTGTTGCCATAGAGTCTTCCGCTGTGGCAGTGAACCACGATGAATGTATCCATTCTATTGCTGATGGGCATTTGGGTCGTGTCCAATTTGGGGCTGTTACAAACTGTGCTGCTAGGAACATTCTAGTAACATGTCTTTCCATGATTGGCAGGATATATACCCAGTACTGCCATCACATGGTGTATATACATATATTTAGCAGTAGAAGTATATCTGTTTTGTAGGTCAAAATAAACCTGGTGCTTACCTCCCCCTCCTAAGCCAGCTCAGGAGATACTGGAAGATGAGCTCCATGCTCCCAGTTACAGTGCTTCAGCTCCCTTCCCTCTAATCCAGCTATTCCCTGTGCTCAAGGAAATGGTTTCTTCAGGGTATCAGTTACAAATGGGGTGCAAGTCCTGAAAGGGAAGGAAATGCTTCCAATTTTTAGGAACCAAGGTTTAAACGTTCAATTCTGTCCACTTTCCCCGGCGTTTTCCTTTAAATCAGCAGGCATGATCAAAACCAAACACTGACTCCTCTTCTTCCTCTCTCTCCAGGAATGTTACCGATCAATTCTCAGTTCAATTACCCCCTCTGCCACCCCGGGGTAAGCTTTCTCCAAAAGATGCTCGTGAGTATTTTGCTGATAAGAGTCTCATTCAGGATAAGATAACAATTTTATCTAGGTGTCTTAGTCAGCTCAGGCTGCCCATAAAACAGTAACACAGAAAATATGGCTTAAACAACAGTAACTTTCTCACAGTTCTGGAGGCTAGAAGTCCAAGATGAAGGTGCCAGCCAATTTGGTTTCTGATGAGGACTCCTTATGGCTTGAAGATAGCAGCCTTCTCACTATGTTCTCACACGGAGGGGAGAGCGCTCTCTGGTGTCTCTTCTTAAAAGGGCACCAATCCTATTGGATCAGGGCCACAGTCTTATGACCTTCCTTAACCTCCATTACTTCCTTAGAGGCCCCACCTCCAAATACAGCCACACTGGTGGTTAGGGCTTCACCATATGATTTTTGTGGGGACACATTCGGTCCATAACACTGGAATTTGCAGATGGCAGCAACCTGGTTTAAACAGATGATTAAGTGTAAAGGGGACAGAATAAGTACCAATGCTCCCAATATTCAATGTGGAAATTCATATTCAAATTCCAGCTTGGAGCAGAAGTAAAAAGGAACGTGGGGGTGGGGGGTCACTAGGTCTCTCCCACTTCCTATCAGAAGAATTCTGCCTGGTTCCCTTGGCTGGAATGTTCTTCCTTAAGCTCTACACAGAGCTGACTTTACCTCACCCTTCAGGTTTCAACTCAAATGTCACTACCTCAGAGAGGCCATTCCTGATCATCCTATCTAAAGAAATCCTGCTAATTTTCTTTATGAAGCTCATGGCAATTACCCTAAGTGGTCATTATCACCTAGAATGTAATATAAACTTGAATACAAATTCTAGAAAACAGATGCCTTTCTTGTCCTGTTTACCACTGTTTACCCACCACTAAGAACAGTGCCTGGAGCTTCACAGATAATAAACAAAAATGTTTTGATTCAGCGAGTGAAAAACAATATTAGCTAACACTTCTTGAACAGGTACTGTGTGTCAGGCCCCATGGTGGGCACCTTCTAGGCGTTATCTCATCTAATCCTCTCAACAACTCTATGAGGCTGGTACATAATTATGCTCCTCTGGTAGATGAGGACCCTGAGGCACAGAGAAATAAGTGACTTACCCATAGTCACACAGCTAGTGACTGATGGAAGAACATGAACTTGGATCTGTCTAACTGCAGAACTTTGCAGGAAATGAAATAGTGATCATTTTTCAGGATCTCTTAGGAACAGGTGAGAGTGTGGTGAGGCAGTTCCAGTCTCCATCAAAGGTGGAGCTGAGCTGTTTCATTGTCGTTTTCCTAATATGTTCGCCCATTTGCTAGGCACCCATCCTCCACTAATCCCACTTTTTGAAAACACCACTGCCTCTACCTTAGCAAAGAGATGACAGACATGAGCAATTATGGATAGTTCTGGAAAGCAGTATACGTCATTGTGAGGGATTATCCCAAAAGGAACTATGGCTTGTATCACTTCCTTATGAGAATTAGGATCTGTAGATACAACACCACTCATTTGGCTACTAGCTCTGATCAGTTTCTTGTCTACGCTTCTGTTTCATGGTTCTCACTGCAGTGCAGTCTCAGACAGAAGGACATGGGAGTCAAGACATCTGACCCATATTTGCCACTGACTCACTTGGGTGGGCCTGAGACTGTATCATGGCCAGGTCTCAGTTTCCTCTGTAAAATGGGGATCTGGTCCACCAAGAAGTGGGAGGATCATCAAAACCCATGAAAATGATGCAGAACCACTTGGTCAAAAATATACAAACATACAATAGCTTTGCATCTAATACTTTTTGTGTGTATTCTAGCCCCACAGGAAACCCCAAGTCAGCCACCAGCTGCCTACTCATCGGTAAAAAAGTTAGAAATAAGAAGACAGTTGCTGTCCCAAGTTATATTGAGCCTGAAGCTGACTACGATGACATTGATATCCCTGCAAATACGGAAAACCATCATCGTGAAAAAAACGTTACTTCTTTTTGGCAAGCGGAAGAGGGTTCACACAGCTTATTTTAAAACAGTCAAGAATGGTTGAACTTCAGTAGGTACCCAGGTCCCGAAAGCCAGTGGTCCTGTTATGAAGCTCTGTAAGATAAGCACTTCCTGAATCTTAGAAGAAGGGGCAGCAATCCTGACTCAGCCCTGAGAATGGAGAGGAGTCAGGCCTTGAACTTCTGCTGAGGGAGGCTCCAGGCGGAGGACCACTGGCTTCCAAGGCTCCTACCTGTGAGAAACTACTCAGTTCCTGGCACTTGTCCCCCTTTTCCCTCCCCTGTTTGTGTGGCTCTAAATGATCTCAAATCTTGGCGTTGGACTGTGCAGAGCCTCCCAGTCTCCCATCCCCAGCACAGCCCCCACCAAGCACATGTCTTATTCCCACGCACCCCATCCACCTCACATGTTGAGAGGCTGTGGGTGGCGGTTACAGCTGAGCACTCTTTTGCGCAAGTCACACGTCACGCCTTGTGCGTTGGTCAAGGGCAGGGGAGGACTTTTCGTTCTTGCAAATCCTCCCCACCTACACAACCCCCGAACCCCCAGAGCCTCTCTGTGACCTTGGCAAGACTGACCACAGCGATCCAAGTTCTCACCCAGGGCTCCTCCTGGGCTTCCCGCTGCACCAAACAATCAACACAGGACAGAAGTCACCTTCTGGACCAAAGGACAGAAGTTACACATGGAGCTGTCATTTTGCAATACATGTATTGGCGGAGCTACAGGAAAAAGGTTTCCCTGGGAAGAATCATGGGAACAGGAAAGAAAGGGGAGATTAAATGGCAGATTCAAGATGAGAGTTCTGGGGACTTAATACCCTCCACCATAATTTTCATTATTGCTTCCTCCCTTGTGTAGAGTTCCAGGCAAACAGTGTCATGCCCCTCCCTGCCTGACTCCTGTCCCTGAGCTGCTGGGAGGCAGCAGCTCCAGTGCGATGTGCTGCAGCTAATGAGATGCCCGGCGAGTGGGCTGCTGTTCTGTCAAACAAGTACCCTAGTGGGGTCCCGAGGCCCGAGTCAGCTTTGTAGGCCCCTGAACCTCATCAGTTCCTTCAAGTTCATCTGCTGGAGCCTGAGGACTTGACACTTTCCCAAGCAGACTCACAGGATGCTGAATTCTAAGCAGACCCTGGGAAATGCAGCGAACAGGCATGCAGGGAGAGCGCCATGAGCTGTGCAAAAGGCCCAGGAGCGTTCCTTGGACTGAGCTGCTGGACCCGTGGGGACATGAGCACCCTCCCAGGTTCTCTCTTCCTAGACTCCATGGAGACTTCCAGTTTCTCATAGTACCTCCTTATTTTAGGCCAGTGATTCTTTACCTGTGGCCTTATGGACCTCTGGTACTCCACTATCCAAAGAGAGGACTTTTCCTAAATTACAGAGAGAGAGAGAGAAAGAAAAAGGCTAAAGGATGAAATGTTTTACGTGCATGCTTTCCTCTTACAAATTCTCTGTAAACCATCCACATCTATAGCAAAAGATGAAAGCACATACAATCAATGTTAACTCCTCCTTGGTTTCTGGGACACCATCTTCTGGTCCTCCTCCTGCCTTTCTAGCCTGTATCGGTCTCATTTGTGAGCTTGCATCTCTTGGAAACATCTCTTCAATGGTAGTCTTTCTCAGGGTCCTCATCTCGCTCCTAACACTCATGAGTGACCTCATCAATGCCCACGGGCTCAGTACCCCTCTTTTCTGATGACTCCCAATTGCAGGCTCCAGCTGAACTCTCTCTCCCCAGTTCCAGACCATGTTGCCCCTGGACATCGCCATATGCCTCTCCCACAGGCCCCTCAAGTTCAACATACACAGAGGGAATTAATTACCCAACTCCACTTCCAAACTTCTTGTGCTCTGCTGTCTTCTTAGTTGGTGAACTCAGAAATCAGCATGGGTCTGGAGTCCTTTCCAGTGTTCCCCACCTCCTGTTGATTGTGCCTCTCAAGTAGCTCTCTGATCAGCCCACATTTCTCATTGGCTGTTCAGTTCCTAGGTCCTTGCCAGCACTTGGCAAGAGAACACCAGCAGCCTCCCAGTTGGCCTCCTACCTCTGGTGTCTCAGCCTGCAATCCCCCTCCTACATCGCAGCCAGTGACCTTGTAAAGTGAACATCTGACCGCTTCATCCCCTTGCTTAAATCTCTTTACCCATTAGCATCAGAAAAAGCCCAAACTCCTTAATCTGGGTTACCAGATTTGTCAGGATCTGGTCAGCAGTTATCTCTTACCAATCTCCTTCCCCACTGCCTTGTAACTGTACTCCCCCAGAGTTTTGCTCCAGCCATTTCAAATGACTTTGCCCATGGCCTCTCTTGCCCCTATGACTATGCACAGTCCTGCCCCCACGGTCTGGAACATTCTTCCCCACCTTTTGATCCTTCCCATCTCTGCTTAAATCCTTGCCTCACCACTCCAAATTCGGGTCCGGTGCCCTCATAGAGGCTCCCCTCTCATAGCATTAGCATGCTGTAATTACCTGCTCACCTGTCTTTCTTCCCCACTAGACTGAAAGCAACACGAGGGCGGAGACTGTCTTTCCCCCACTGCTTTCTCTGTTCCTAGCACAGTGCCCTGGACCATTGTAGATGCTCAGTAAATATGCTGAATAAACGATCAATTGAATGAGTGAATGAATGACTCCTGGACTTGGCCCTGGAGAAACACTTCTCCTTCTGCATTGTAACTGCCTGGTTACTTTTCCATCCTCCTTCCTGATCTGGGGGCTCCTTTTCAGTGGAAGCTCTCTGGCTAACTGCTATATTCCTAGTGTCCAGCTCAAACCCTGGCACATAGTAGGCACCTGATAAATATTTACTGAATGTTGGACATTTATGGAAAAATCTACCAGTCTGACAAATCATTTTCCTCTGGGTGTGTGTAACTTGGTTGAAATTTTATACTGGGTACCTGTAATAAAACCGCATTTTCTGCCAACAAAATTTTTTCCAGTTTGGATGATAGAATTAAATATATTAAGATTTCACAGGACCTTTTTGTGTATTCTAGCTCCTCAGGAAACCCCAAGTCACCCACTAGCTTCATGCTCATGGATAAATTTAGAAATAAAACACTTCCCCACCTGAGCTATTTGGAGCATGAAGATGAAATGTTAAAAACCTTACAAATATGGAAAACCATCATTTTGAAGCAACTCCTGCTCCACCACCTTAACTGATTTGAGAACTGTTGGTCAGCAGTTATCTCTTTACGACCATGCCACGAATCAGGGGGTGATGCACCCAAAGCCAGGACGGCCACAGGCCCTGAACTTTAGGCCTGAGATCAAAATGGAGCCTCCTTGCTCTCACCCTGCGGGCCGGCAGACCTGGGTCTGCAGGGCCAGCTCCACCTCACCCGCTCACCCACTTCCTGGGAAGAAGAAATGGAGGGGTACTGGGTCAGCAATGGGGGTTGGAGCCATGTCTCCCTTTTGAGATAAAATAACTCCACCTGTATTCACAGCAAATGCCAGATTCAATTCAGTCACATTAGTTCCTCCCCTCTCCTGCTCATGGGGAGAGAAAGGGACGCGCCTCTGTGGAAACTGAGGATGACTCCCTCCTGACTCAGGATGACCTTTTCCCGACTGTGCTCTGTGGCCAAGGAGCAGGGGTCAGAGCAGTGTCCTGGGGGTCAGCCCAGCTCTGCCTCCCTCATGGGTGTTCTTCACCCCCCACTCCAGTATGTACTCCACTCTTTCCAGCAAAAGCCCCAGATTTTCCTGTTGGATCTGCTTCTTTCTCTTGTCAGTTGGTCCAAATTCTGTACAGCCTCATCCTCAACTCAGGCTGGAGCATGTGACCCAGCCTGGCCAATCGGAGATTTCCATTCCCTTGGCCCCAGTGACTGATTGGTTGATGCTCTGAGAATCAAGGCAGGAGTCCTCTCCCACTGGCTCTGAAGTTGAGGGGATATAAATTCTCAAGGTAGAACCTGTCACAGAGGATGTGGAGCTGAGCTATGAAGACAGTCCAGATCCTACTGGCATTGTTTGAGCTTCTGGAAACAGCCATGCTTGAAACAGGCATAATCTCTGGGTTTTTTAGTTCTTTGAGCCAATATTCTTTAAAAGCCTTCAACTCTGCCCCTTAAGGCTTATCCCCACCATCACTGCCTATTTTCAGTCTTGTCATCTTTCATCTGTCTTAATGCAAACGCCTCCTGACTGTTCTCTCCTTCTCCAATACATCTCCCATGTACTGTCAGAGTGAACTTTCTAAGATGCAAACCTGATTAGATCACGGCCCTGCTTAAAATCCTTCAGTGGCACCCCTGTGCCTACAAAGATAAAATCCACACTCCTCAGCACAGAAGGCAAGGCCCTGATAACCTGGTCTCCACAGGCCTTGTTTCAACATCTCCTGTCCTCCCCTCATGCATCCTGGCCACAGGAAACCACTTGCAGCACCCACCCACCACCAAGCATCAAAATGGTGCTAAGGTTTTGTACATTCTCTTCCTTCTGCTGGGAACACCTTCCTTCCTCCTCCACCTGATAAACCACGACTCACCCCTCAGCACCCAGCTGGAGTGGCGCTTTCTCTGCAAGGGCTTTCCTCGCCGGGTCAGCAGCAGCCCCACCTCAGCACTCCTCTGAATACTTATCATGGTGCATAATTAGCCCCATCTCGGGGTTACACAGCTCTTTCCCATTAGACACTGGGTTCCTTGAGGGCTAGGATTATGTTGTAGGGTGACTCTACGTTCAAGTTTACCCAGGAGAGTTTCGGCTTTTGTTTAATATCTTGGTATAATTATTAATAGTACCCCCTTTCACTCTCAAAAGTGTCCTGGTTTGGATGATAAAGTATATTTTCACCCTACTTATTCATGATCAGGTCAGTGCCTACCCTCAACAGAGTGAGTGTTAAAAAGATACCTTTCTAGTGATTGTATGAATACATGACCCTCTCTAGATCTTATTTTCTTCTATCAAAAAAAAATAGCTGAATTAGATGACTTCTTAGCTATTTACTGCTTGAAGTGATTCAAATAAAGTCAGTAATCCAAAAGGCTAGAAACAGCAGATTTAGCTTATCTTCCCCACGAAAGGACCTGCCATATAGAATTACACCTTCATGTCTAATATAGGCAAATTCACAGAGAGATTAATTTGCAAAGTAAATTAATGGTTGTCTGGGTCTGAGAGGAGGGCGAATTGGGACATGACTGCTAAACAGGTTTAGGGTTTCTTTTTGGGGTGATGGAAATGGTCTAGAATTATATGTGGTTATGGTTGCATGACATTGTGAATATATTGGAAGCCATTGAATTGTCCACTTTAAAATGATTGAATTTCATGTTATGTCGATTTGACCTTAATGAAAAAATATTTTGTTAGATTTTATCAGGTTTTTTTTCTGACATTTACTGTGATGAGTCAATGAAAAAATTCCCTTGATTATAAATGTGTTAAATGTTAATACATTTAAGTCATACTTATACTCCTGAAATAAACCTAATTTGGTGTTTAACAAAAAAAGAATTACACCTTCAAACATACTCACACCTGGATCAACAACTTTAGAGACCATTACCTGCTGAGAGACAGCAGATCTTCCCCCCAGCTGAAGACACAGTTCTCCCAGTTAGCCCTGCTAATAGCTGGATAATCTCCTAGCAACAGACAAAAACCAATTCCCATTTGTTCTTATGATGTGCGTTGCATCAACAGTATTGTTACTGCTCAGACATGACTCCTGACTCGTGGTGTGCTTCAGTTTCTAACCTAGTTCACCTTCTCTGCATACCTGGGCCTGGCTGAGCAGCAGAATAAAATCCCACCCAGGTTAACATTTGGTTGCTGAAAGCCCTCAACCATAAGTAGGCAGGTAGCAGCTGATTGTGGTCCCTTTGCATTTTACTAGAGCAGAGTGTGCAAAACACTATGTGAAAAACCATTGTAAGAAACAGCTAATTAATACTCTTGCCTCTTGGTCCTTCAACCTTAGACGTCAGTTTTTGTATTTACCCACATCTCATTGCTAAAATATAATGCAGGTAAAGTATTAGATCAGCTACACTTGCATAATTTAAATTCTCTACAGTTATAAGAAAAATCTGAGTTTCTTGAAATAAACTCTCACTTATAAAGAGACGTATAAACTAACAGCTTTTCAATTATTTAAAAAAAATTAGATGCCTCAGCATTTTTTTTACAAATTGGGTGTCAGAGGAACATGGTTTAGGTTTTAACCAAAATTGCAGAAGGTAATCTTAAGAAAAATGAAATTCCCCTGATGGTTAAAAAAAAAAGTTTATTTGCATAACTTGTACACTTCTACCTCCCACGAGGCACCAAACAAAAATAAATTTTCCGATACATTTAATGTTGACACTCTACAACTCTATTTTGGGTGGCCAAGAAAAAAACTTCTTCCTTTGAGTACACTGAAAATAAAATTACCTTGAATTTCTCACTATTGTTTAGAAAAGATATTCAATACTTCATAGATCAAATTTCTGTTGTATCACTAGCTTAGTTTAATAAAATTCTATAATTCTTTAGTTTCAAACTTGCCTGAAAACAAAACTCACAACTACATACAGATTTTTTTTTTTTAAAGGTCAGCTTTAGCCACTTTGGGGAGCAATTTGGCAACGTCTAGTAAAATTGAAAATGTAGGCACCCTATGTGACCCAGCAACCCTACTTCAGAATACACATACTAGAACAGTAGCTTTCAAACTTTCTGGTACCAGTCTCCAACATATTCTTAAAAGTGACCAAGGACACCAAAGAGAATTTTGTTTATGTAGAAGATAATCTGTTGATATTTACCTTTGGAAAGTAAAAGTAAGAAAGATTTAGGATGTTTATTAATTCGTTCATATTAATGTAAATAATTTTAATTAAAATAATTACATTTCCCAAGCCAAAAAAAAAAAAGTGAGAAGAGTAACATGGTGTTACATTTTTGTGACTCTCTTTAATGTCTGGCTTAATAGAAAATATCTGGATTCTCATATCTGCTTCTGCAGTCACTTTGTTGCAAATCAACATTTGGAGCCTCTGGAAAACCCCATTATACATTCAGGAGAGAGTAAGCATGAATAGGGGAAAATAACATCTTAGTGTTATTTATAAACATAGTTTCAATCTCATGGCCCAGACCACATTTTGAGAACCACTGTCCAAGAGAAACTCAAGAACCCATACAAAAATGTTCTTTCTGGTATCAGTCTGTTATAAATGGAACTTACATATCCGTCCATCTATAAGGGGTTATGAGACCCATGGGGGCTGCACTTTTGCTACTTTGCTCATCTCCTTATTTCCAGTGACCCACAGAGTGGGTGCTCAGTAACTATTTGTGTAAGGAGGGAAGGAAGTGAGAGACGGATTGAGGGAGAATGTATGAATATTGTTCTGCAATTTGCTTTAAAATTTAACTGTATTTTGTGGACATCTTTTCACAGATGTAGACTTTTAGTTCACAGGGTAGAAATGGCCAAAACACCATGTGATTCTTGTATAACTAGTAAGCTTCTTTCTTTCTTTCTATTGTCTAAAAATAAAATTGTATTTAAGGAGTTTTGATCTGTTAATCACCACGGGCTACAAACTACTGCCACCTAGCGGTGTATTAAGAAGTCCACATATTATGGGCAAAATGGCCTTTGCTATTAAAAAGAACACTGAATATTTTGCCTATATTTTGTTTGGAGGCATTCCTTAATTCAAACAGAAGATTGAACTATTTACTTAAAGGCCTTTCTATAAATTAGACAACTAATGTAGAACTCTTTGTTACTCCTGTAGTTTACATGCACATTGGAGGATTTTCTTAAGATATTTTAGGTAAATCTGTTAAAATTTCTCAGGCCAAAGAGCAAAACCAATGGTTAAAACAAGTTAATAGATTATTTTCTTCTTTAAAGATATTTTCATTTCTCTCCTCTTTTCTTGTTTTCACTTGGTCTCTGATTTACATGGTAAGAGATTTTTTTTAAATGCATGCAGAAAAAAATAGCAACGCATAATAACTGCTCAATAAATGTTTACTGCCTAGTAGACATCTGCTCCTTTGCCTGCCCTAAGAGCTGTCTCATTTTTCTGGTAAAAACAAAAAGAAATCAAAAAAACTGCCTTTTCTTTCCATCACGTAATGGCTCTAGCAGTAACATGGTTCCCTTTCCCTATCCCAGTCTGTAATTCAAGCGGGCGGGTCAAAGTACCTCATCCACTGGGTACAGTGATTGGTCCAGGATTGGACATGTGATATGAGCAGACCCAATCAGAGTCCTTTTTCTGCGACTGCTATAGATACCCTTCTGTAATCCTGGGCACTGAAACATATCTCCATGTGGGGGGGGAAAAAAAGAAAATCAATGGCATTAACAGAGAGAGAAGCAAAATCAAAAGATGGAGAGACAGGAAAGAGTCCTGACAACGATTTTTAAAAATCCTTGAATTCTGGCCTTTCTGGAAGCCAGTCTACCCCCTGGACTTTGCTGTTATGTAAGTCAAGTTATATTGAAGCAGAGGAGGGTTTCTATTACTTCCTTGTCTTTCATCTGCCTAACTCTTCAGGGAGAGCCTGATTCCAGAAAGCCTTCATAGACCTTCCTGTGTCTAATCTTCTTTTATAAACTCTTAGGGCACCATGTACTCTCCAGAATAGCACCCATCACTGTTATCATTTTATATTTATTCATGGAATTATTTAAATAGCTCCTCCTCATGACAAATTCCATGAAAGGGCCTTGGATTTTGCTCAACATTCATGGCATCACCAGTGTCTGGCAGAGAGTGGGCACACCATATGTATTTGTAGAGCAAATGAATTACATAATGAATCCACACTCCTGACAAGGGCACAATGTTAAACTCCCATGAGATCAGAAAGGTTTTTTTTCCTTAAAAAAAAAAAAAAAGACCAAAAACCCAAAATAGACCACTCTCAACACTTTATATTTCTCAACAAAAATGTAGTTTTTATGTCCTTCCCTCGAACCTCCATTTTCAGTCTTCTGACTTAAGCAGATCTTGGTTCTTAAAACAAAGCAAAACAAAACAACAACCAAAAAAAACAAAAAATAAAAAAGTCCCTTTATTTTGTTGTGTTTAAAGCAATCTAAGAAATACAAGAAAATATTGCAATTTTTCTGAAAAAATAAGAATAAATGGAGAGAGGACTAGCCCTACCAGACTTTAAAACATATTTAAAAGTTCACAATAATTCTAAGTTTATTATCAAAGAAAAGATAAATAGATAAGCAGACAGAAAGTAACCAAAATACATAACCAAACACAAGGCAAACTTAGACAACAATTAAAGTCAGTGAGGAAAAGTAGGATAATCCATTATATGGGACTCAGAGAGGTTAAATAACTTGCCCAAAATCACACAGCCCATAACTGGTGGGTCATCGATTCTGTCTGACTTTTCTTGAGTGCCTAACTTTCTGTTGCCCTTTTAAACACTTCGCTATCCTTGTTCATCTCTGGATTGCCGAGCTTTTGACAGGACATTGCAAACAGAAGGTATCAATGAATGAGACCACAAAGGCATGCAGGGCAAAAAAGAAAAAGATTAAAAATTAGAACAAAAATGTGGTTATTTGATGGGGCCTCCCATCCGGACGGACACGCCGGAGGCCGGCGATAGGCGCGTCTAGGACCCCCGGAGGACTCTGCGTCTCGGTGGTGGCCTCGCTCACGTTGCGCGGCATCAGCAGGTGCACCAACCTGCGCAGCGCGGGACCCTCAAGAGTCGGCTCGCGCGAGACCGAGCGGACAACGCTGAGTCGGCCGAGTCTGCGCAAGGGAGACCCCCGGACCGGTGGGAGGCGGCCTGGGGGC